AGTATAACGGCAAGGAAAATATACAAATAAGGTCTAACATAAGATTTTGTGAACACCTTTTCAAGCAAGTTGGATTTGTGAACCAAAGTCTAATATAAACCAAAGTTTTTTGTTTGTTTTTTTAATTACTGTCATTTTTACATGCTATTCTAAATAACAACGCCTAGAAACCTGACTATAAAATTTAGAGTTAATAACTATAAATTGGGAGGGAGATGTTGGGGAACAAACATAGGACAGGGCAAAATCGACTATAGCCAAGGATTAAGGGTGACTTATTGATGGGTATGGTGTGGTAACATACTTTTGAAAAGAGGTTATCCTATATCTCTGAATCATTTACGGTGTAGTGAATGAGTTACCTCAATGAACAAATAAGCAAACAAAAAATTGAATGAATAAATAATGTTGCCAGAGGTGTTTTCTCTTATAAAGAAAATTCAACAGTGTCTTTAAACATATCCTATGATTCTAAATTAAAGTTTAAGTTTTCAAAATTAAGCACCTAGAACTAAATTTGACTGATACTAAAGTTACAATGACAGAACATTAGTAATGGAACTATAAAATGTTAGAAAACTGGGTGAATGCAGATTGTTGAATTAATCATGTAATAACTGAGGGAAGATATAAAATAAAAGGGAAATATCAAATGTGTGCTACTGATTCCATTGTCTCATGAAAATGTTTAAGCAAATTGACTCAAAAGATCAAGATGGTGACAGAGCTTGAATGATCCAAGAGCCCAGCACATTACAATAGAGAAATTCACTTTAAAATACAACTTAAAATATAAAATTACAAATGACCTAAATAGATTATCCATTTGTAATCATGGAGAACTAAAATCTGACTAGAATTTCAGGCTTTTAAATCCAACCAACCTTGACTTCTACATACAACTTGAACTCATTGGACATATGGAGTAATTTCCAATGATGTCCTTAGAAAATGTATGTCAATAATGACATATCTTTTTAAGCATTTTGCATAGGAAAACAGTTTGAAAAAAATAGCACAGCAGTGAAGGAAGGAGTAAAATTAGATAGTTTCTTGAAATAAAAAGAATTTTAAAAGTTTTCTTGCTTCATTCTGTGCTCTACTATGTTTCCCCCCAAACTGTATCATAGCCTCCTTTTATTATACATAATCCATACTACAACCATTAACTAACCTATTTTTTTACTACTATTCCTTATTTAAGACCTGCAAACTAAATACTCATGTATATATTCCTATACTTTAGTTGAAAGTAGAATTAATTTTATTAAAACATTTGTTATAATTTTCTCTATTAAATTTTTTAACGAGACCAATAAATAAATTGTCATTTAAAAATCACGATTAACTTCTAGGAACTACAATTTCATTTTATTTACTATAAAATATTCCCCAAGTGGAATCAAAAATATAATTTATCTCAATATAAATAATTAAAGAAAACTCAATTCCCTAGCTCTTCCACATGTGACTGAAAGTCAAAATTTCTAGAAATGATAAATGGCCTGGTATCTTTGATAAACAGAAACAAAAAATAAAAGGGAATTTATGATAGACCGTACTAGGAAACTTTTGACTAAGAAAAGCCAAAACACATTGTACACACACACACACACACACACACACAGAGAAATACTTCTCTTTCCTCTGATATTTTGCAAGTTAAAAATTTATCCATGTCTAACTAAAAATTGCCTTACTATCACAGATTTTCCAGATTATAAAAAATGCATGTAGAAACACTGTTTGGTCCTTATGTTAAGCAGAAAATATACTAGAAAAAATTATAGAGGTCATCAAGGAATTATACTTCACTATTATTTTGCATATCTGTGAAACTAATCACTAATTATCTGCAGTTAGCATAACTTCAATACATTAGTAACCACAAGCAATATACAATGAGCTATCTCTCACAGTGTTAATCAAAATCATTTTTAAAATGATATATTGACAAGTTGAATTTATTCCTCCTGAATGTACATAGAATTTGTTAAGTGGGAAAAAATCAAATTTATCTTACAGAATGTCCAGTTAACATCTCCATATGATTTTTTTCTTTCATTTTCAAATAGAATAAAAAAGGCATTATTAATCCCAATTTGGAATTGTTCAGTTAATAATTCATAATGAAAAATTTATCATGTTCCTTTAGTCATATCTTCTTAGATATTAGTTTTTGAATATTATCTCTAGATCACACTGATATACTGATCCAGTTATTATTAGACTGATGGACTGATCAAGTTATAGCTCATTTTATGGCTGTGATATAAAAGTGGTTTTTATTAAGGTAAAATTTTGTGTATAAAGTGAGTGAGATAAAGATAATTTTTGACATAGCTGACAAGAGACCTTAGTAAAACAGGATGTGAAGGAAAAGATTTTGTTGTTGCTGATTATTATTTCTATTTATTTGGTTTGAAACTCCCCAAACTATAAAAACTAGCCTCATGATTGCCAGATTGTTTAAATAACAGAAATCTTAAGACATATGCTATCTAAAGCAATACTGCCCAATAGAATTCTGTGTGATGACGACATACTTTACAATTCTCAACATCTAATCTGATAGTAAAGAGCCCCATGTGGCTATTGAATATTCGATATGTGCAGAGTATTACTGAGAAACTGAATTTTGCATTTGACTTAATTTTAATCAACTTAAATGTGAATAGTTAGATGAGGCTAGTATTCTGTGTGGGTTACAATGCTCCATGTTCCTTTTCTTCCAGATCTCTAGTATTTCCAAAAGAGTATAGTCAGACAGGGAATGCAGTAGCTAGAAGACAGCAGTTTTCCAACTAAAAGACTGAGGAAATTGACACTCACACCACAATTCTAGATGGCCCTGGCATCATAGAAAAATCATTCCAGACCTGGGATGGGCCAACATGATGAACCCCAGTAAGTTTGAGTGCAGTATAAAATAGTACTCTCTCCAGTCCTGCATCACCCTACCTCTCATTCCCCATTCCCCAACAAAGGTATGTCAAACTCTTCAAATCCCCTGAGACCTGTATCCCCTGAGCAATTTCAGCATCAACAGACACGAAATCCTATTCCTCTCCACCCCCTAAGCTGGAGGTTTTCGCTCTATCTTTATTGAAATTTTTGCACTTCCTTTTCCATGTTAATCAACCATTACTGGCTCCAGATGGACTCTGTCAACTCTGCCTATGAATCCTTAGCAGCTTCTCTCCCTCATGGTTAAGAAGGCAATGGCTTTTGACCGTGGCCTTTACTTTTTTCTTCTTAAATATTATCTCCCTGCCAATCTTTTCTACTTTCACAGCATTCATTCTTAACACTACACAGATTTATTTCCCTAATCTCAACTTCTACTTCTACACTCCCCTGCCTTCTACTCCAGAATTTCTAGCTAACAGTTCCAACATTTCACTCTGATAGCCTCAGCATACCAGTTGCGATTCAAGACCTTTACCCCTTCCAAAAACAACAGCAACAACAACAAAAGACCTTTTATAGTCTCTCCCTTATTTCACAAATGATTCTAGTCATCCATGATCAAAATCCTTATCTTTTACTCATTCTTTCCATGCTTAAAGCTTGAAATATCAAAGTGATTAAATTAGAAACTCAGATTCAGAGGATAACAGAATTGAAATGACTCCTAGTTCCATCATGTCCAGGCTGCATAATTTGACTATATCTCCTAAATTGTCCAAACAGTAATTTCTTCAACACACACACACACACACACACACACACACTCTAGTAACAATAAATAACATTTTCAGTGTCAGTCCTAAGTACTTTATGTATATTAATACATTTAGCTTTTACAGCAACTCTTCCATTGATGAGAAAAAGGAAACAGAGTTAAATAAATTGCAAAGAGCCACAATAGTAAGTGGTTGGGATTCAATCCCAGACATTCTGGCTCCTAAATTGTAACCGCCATATACTCTGTTATCCTGATAATAACAACTTATCTCAGTGTTCTGAAGATAAAGTGTGAAACACTCTATAAAATACTTGTCAATATCGCTACTGTTATCATTATACATTTCTAGGTCACCAAAATCAGAACTAACACTTTCACTATATGAATTCCTATAGTACTTACAAGCTGTTTGCAACTAAGGGTAGTTTATAAAACTATTCTATACTTAGTGAATGTTAGAAGAATTAATGTATGTCAAGGACTTTTAGAATTTATTATAATACATCCATCACAGTTCTTAGTTATCCTCTAGTGTATGGATGTGCTGCTCCCTCTGACAATTCACTTCTCCAATTTTCAATACCTTTCAACACTCATTTTCCCTATAACAAAAGTATGTCCTAGCCCCCTTTCACCTGCACCTGCACCTGAACTGGGCCTATTCTTATAAACTTCTGCATTCTATAAACTTGGCTAGGTCTCAGCTCCCAGCATGCCCAATCTCACCTGGCCATATTGTCTCTAGAACGTGCTAGAGGCCCCATGGCTTAAATGCAGTTACTCTCAAAGGTTACATTCACAAGCACTTAGACTACACAGAAGGAGTTTGTGTGGAATTACAGGAAAATGAGACTGTGCTGGAATGTTGCTCCCTATCATTTCCAAACAGCTATTTTATAGAAATCAAAGGGAGGAGATAGGATCTTAAATGTTAAGTATGAGACAGGTAGGGCAGAGAGGGCAATGCCTAAAAGAAAAATCCAAATGGCCATCTATACCCAGGGCTCCAGGAAATACTTGCCAGAGCCAATAAAGGCTGGGGATAGCCAGAAAACACCCAGAGGGGGAAGGCAGTCCCCCACTCCAACCAACAGGCAGGCCAATAAGCCAGAGTACAGCAAGAAGCAGCAGGTAGAGCCCTGCACCAAACTAACAGGGCTGATAGAGCTACACCCTGGAAGCACAGTAGGAGTGACTTAGATACTGCTGGTGGATGCATATACCAACACCCCTGGAACACCTTCACAAAACACCCCAGGAAGGGCCAGAGTGAGCAATGTCCTTTTCCCTACTTAAGCCAGGAGCTCCTCACCTTTCTTCCCAGTTGTTCTTCCCACTCCTCTTCCTGGTTCTCCCTGGATGTACTTTCATTCTGTCTCTAAAAAAACTTTGCTCTTGCTTCTGCTAAAGACATGGCTTTGAAATCTCTCACTAGCATAGAGAAGGAATTGAGGAACCCTAAAAACAAGAAACATTAAGGACATCACTTTTTATTTAAAAAAAAAATCTTAAAGACTATAATGACATAAAGAGTTATTTCATATAAATGTTTAAAATGCTAATGATATGAGAATGCATGCAATATAGACCAATCAATATATGTAGACAAGAATGGTGTGCATAGAAAAATGTATGAAATGTTATATACCTTAATGTGCATAGTTTACATTCAAAACAGGAATTGTGGGTAATTTCTCTATTTCTCGTTTATCTCCAAATCCTATTTTTCACAATAAACATTTAACATTCATACAACAAATATCATATCTAAAAGTCTCTTGAATGACATTTCATTAATGCTTATTATTCTGTCGAGTGCCGTATAATTAACAAACCATCCAGCAGTGTTTTATATCAGTAATCTGAACTAAATTTTACTTGTATGTTTTATTCCTTAAGATCTTACCCAAAGTCCATTTTCAAACTAATCTTTTTTTTTTTTTTCCTTTTTGGCATCAGCTACACAGATTATTGATGATTTATATGTTTGCTTTTAATGTCATTCTAATTTTTTTAAAGATTTATCTACTTATGCATACAAGAACCAGATTGCAGGCCAGAAGTGAAGGGAGTGAGAAGATTCACCAGAGGCAGAGTGGGGAACAGAACAGGCAGACTGACTGAAATAAACTGCTGAGGGGAGCAGTGGGCAAGACAGGAGAGGTCTGCTGCGCCATGTGGGTCAGCTCCCTGGCTGGGGATCAAACTAATGCTGCCATGGCTACAGACAGCTTCATAGTGCTGCGCCTTAAACCCTTGCGCCACCAGGGAGGCCCTATAACTCTAAATTTGAAGTACAATTTTTGTTCACACTTTTGCTAACTATACATCTTTCTTGGGCAACCAGTTTTTGCTGGTCCCTGGAGTTGTTACCCAAAAGAAGTTTGGCTATACACATGCAAGTTTTTTATACATTTATTCAGAAAATAGAGTACTCTAAAAGTAAGTTAAGTCATTTGGATTTTACATAGGTCTTTTTAAAAAACAAAGTTACCATTTCCTCCTGTAGAATTATAAACTTTAGTAGCATATAGCAATTAACAAAACAAATGACATGCTCTCAATACATCAACACTAACAAAAAGTCTAACTCTATAAAGATGTATGAAAACAAAATATAATAAGCTTCTATATAATAAAACTGGTCATTAAACCATTGCTAATTAGCATATTACATTAGCACAGCCATTCAGTTATGCAGTGTTTCCACATAAAACCAAACCAGCCTGTTTTCTAAAGTGAAGTAATGCTGATGATGGGAGTTTCAGCCCAGAACATTGACCATACAGGAGTAATTTTAGAAGGAGTTGTGATAGTAAAAATCTGCCTGTGCCTTCATAAAGCAAATCCTAAAAGTTTAGACAATCTTGGATAGGAAGACAGGCAATGAAGATACCACATAAACAAATATCTATGAAGAAAATATGTAGATGCACAGAAAAAAACATTTAAAATTGTGTCAACATACTTATGTCTCCCCAGGATGGTATTATAACTGGTTTACAGTACAACTCCTGCTACCCATTTCAATATGAACATTCTTTAAGAACTAAAGATAAGAATTATTCTAGCTTTATTGTAGTAATTGTGACTATCTATCCTGCAGGAATATCAAAACTGAGACTGATAAAGAGGAGAATAACTTTCAATTTCAACTTTCAATTTGAATTGGACACCTAGATTCAAGAACTCCTACATAAATAGTCATCCACTGTGGATTAATATACTCTTTGTCACCATTTTTTTCTTGAATAAACTCATGGACTAAGCATTCACCACAATGAAAACATAAGAACAAAGCGTAAGTTGGTCCACACCTACCACATGATATGCAGCAAGCAGTGCAGTAAGGAAGAGGCTGAACTTGGAGTCAAGACCTTATGCTCAGTCTTTGCTGTGTCATTCACTTTGTGACACTGCCAGTCACAATATTTGCTTTCCTTTTGAAATTTCAAAATTAACTTTCTGTCATAGGAATTTTGGAGGGGTTGATGTGAAGGTGAAATGAAGTTACTTATGAAAGTACATACTTAGTAAGCTGAAAATGACTACATAGAATGGCTGATGATATTATTTGCTCTATTTCTCAGAGAGTGTACAGAATTCCTTAGACTTAGACCTTGCCTACTTGACCTTCCTGTATCGAGCCCCCAGGCTAAAAGGAATTCCACAAAACTCTGGCCAGCCTGTCACCAGTGAGAAACAGACACTGCGCCCTGCAGAGGCTTCCTGTTTTCAGGCAATGGCTGGGCACCCAGGTCCATGACCCAATGTGTTATAAATGCAGACAGCAGGAGACCTGACCTAGTAGTGACTAAAAACTCACTAGCGTGCTTACACACCCTAGAGCAGAGACCTAAGATGCTATTGAGACAAGTGACATATGTAGACATATGTAATCTGTCAGCCCAGACCCCTGTTAGTCCAGCCTAAAACATGCTATGAAGCTGCTCCCTGCTTTCCCATAAAAACCATAAAACCATCTGCCAATAAATATAAAACCAGGATCCCTGCTGCTCTGAGGCTCAGAATGTGGCTCAAGGCACTTGCTGCCCCTTTTCATCTTGTGTGATCCATGATAAACATTCCTTGCTTGAAACCTACTGGCTCTTTCAAAATTTGTGGGAGATTAATTGTTGGAAACCAAAGAACCTCAGGAATCAGTTACAAGAGGAGTGAAAGGCAAGGACAGACTCTCTAGCATTTACACCTGTACTTATCTCTTTTGACATATTTGCATTTGTCCCCAAAGCTCATTTTTGTAACTTCCATATGCAATACACATTTACAGTGTTTAGTGGAATATCTTGTTTTTTTGTATCAAATTTCTTGAAATGCTCAAGTAACAACAATCACAACAGAAGAAAAAAGACAATAATAACCATCAAGGAGCGCTTACTGTGTGCCTTTAATTCTCCTGTCATTCCCACAATGACCAATTTATAAAGAGAAAACTACGACCCTGAGTGCTAAGTAACATTGCTGGAGGGAATACATTTAAATGCTTTTCTTTCTTACTTTTCCCTTTTGTTGTGTATATGATTATATTCACTTTTATTCATAATCAAATCAGACTGAAGAGTATTGAACTTTGTAGATAAGGCTAATAGCAGTGGCATTTTTTTTCATATAGCTTTTTTAAGTTTTTTTTTCATATAACTTTTTTTAAGTTTCTTAAGATTTGAGAAACGTAAATTCCCTTTCAAATGTAGATGCACAAATACAAGAATAGATGGATTATTTTTGTTTGATTAATTGTATGGCTCTAAAAAGTCACCTTCTTTTGTGTATGATGGCTGGGAATCTGTTCACCTTCGTTACAGGTTTTTTTTTTAATATTTTACTAAAGTATACATCACATCATAGAACTCATAATTTTACCCATATATATGTATATATGTATTTTGTATATCTATATCTCTCTCTCTCTCTCTCTCTATATATATATATGGTTTATTTGGTATAGAGTTCTAACTTGGGATGATAAAGTTCTAAATATCTATAGTGGTGATATAAATCATCCCAAGTTAGAACTCTATATCACAAATAAACTATAACTCCTTAGTTTCCCTGTCCCCCAGCTATTGATATCCAGTGTTCCACTTTCTCTCTTTAGGTTTTTAACTATTCCATGTATCTCATTTAATTAAAATTATACAGTATCTGTTCTTGCGTCTGGCTTATTTCACTTAGCATATGTCTTCAAGGACCATACATGTTATATGAATGAAATTAATGAGTTGATTAGTTCTAAAACCAAATTTTATTTTATTGTATGCATATCCCACATTTTGTTTTTGCACTCATTCACTGATAAATGTTTGGGTTATTTCCACTTTTTGACTTTTGCAGTTGTTATGAATGTAGATAAAGAAATATCTAAGTCCCTGCTTTCAAAATTCTTTTTTTTGTATATATATATATATATATATATATATATATATATATATGTGTGTGTGTGTGTGTGTGTGTGTGTGTTCAGAATTTAGTCCTTTCTTTTTTTCTTTTTGTTGGCTGCAATAGAACATTAATACTATATCTTTAGGGAACAGAATCCAGTAATTCCTTGATCCCTTTATATAACATATCCCTGAATTCCATCATCCAATAAATAGAGTCTAATAATTTTATTCCTTAGTTGCATATGTTGTCCCTGCTGAGAGAGTATACTAGTTTGCATTCTTTCTGCCACTGTGCTTGGAACTTAGAATATCAGTCTTTAAATCACATAGCAATAAAAATTACTTTGATTATTAAACTGGTTTACATCTTGTGAGATATATATATATATATATGAATATATATCTCTCCATATATATTGAACAGTAAAAAGATTTCTGATTTTCAAATTTTAGAGAAAGGATTTTCAGAAAGACAATGAAAATATTATGTCTCAATTGATAGTACGAATGACTATCCATTAGTATCACCTTAATAACAGCATCACCTTGACTCTAATTCATAATTTAAAATTTGAGATTTTTGCCATTTTTACATATTCCCTTGCAGCTCACCCACAATAATTTATCAGGGCAACATTAAGTGAACTTCAGAAAAAACTTAAAACCTTAGGATAAAACTTGAAAACAGCTGATCAAATATGCAAAGCTACTAACGTAATTCAAAAGAAACAGAACTGTTTTTCATCTAAATGGATAAAAGTTATTGTCATTTCATGTAATCACAATGCTAAAATATACTTATTTTTAAGCAAAACTTTATAATATGAATATTTCATCACATATTTTTATAATTCAACATACAACTCATATACTTTTTTATCATAAGTTATTGATAGCATAGGAAAGACATGCCAGCATTTAAATACATAAAATATGAGTTGTTCTAATAATTTAGAAAACAATAGATATTTTCATGGCCTATGTTCCTCAAAACAGGCTATAATTATTAAATTTATCAAGAGTCTTTGCTTCTCTATATTCTGTGCTGCTGCATGA